GGGGGGGGGGGGGGGGGGGGGGGGGGGGGGGGGGGGGGGGGGGAGGAGGGGGAGACACTGAGGAGGGGGCGCGCGATGGGCAGAAGCGCGGGAGGCCGAGGTGGTGAGACCGAGGAGGGGGCGCGCGGCGAGGAGAGGGGTCGTGTGGGGGCTTGCGGCCCTAGCTGCCGGGGTTGGCTGCGAGTCGGGGGAGACTGAAGGAGCTGGCGGGGCCTGAGGAAATGCTGAGGCCGGGAATTGAATAGGTGTGTGTGAGGAAGGGGCGCCTGGCTCGTGGTCTCCCTTTCCCCCTCCTCATGCCCCTGAATGTCCCCTTCACCAAGCGCGAAGGGCGCTTGCAGCCTCGCCCTCTGGAGCGGGGACAGAAGGTCTGGCTGTGTAGGGGACAGCGACATTCTAGTTGGCCGGATCTGACCTTACAGTGCCTTCTCGCGGACACCTGTCTGTAGGGTGGTGGCGGAAACAGAGACCCTCTGGGGAGTGTATGATGGCACATCCGACAAATCTGACAGGGCTATCTTCACTTGGTTCCTGTTGAGGCCTCTTCTCTCTACCCTGGAATTCCTAACGATTTGAGGGATTGCTTCTTTTGTCCCCAACTTATAGGGTGGAGTTTAGTTTGTTTTCATCCGGGTGGAGCCATCACTTGGGGACCAAGGTCCTGATCAGCGTGGCTGAATGTGTGTAACGCAAAGGTGTTTTTGGAGACAGAATTGCCCAGAAGATCCAGCTGTAAAGCACGACCCTTTGCAAGGCCTTCTAGGACTAGCAAGGGGTTTGGGAAGTCATAATTGGGAAAGGGTCCTATGAACTCACAGGGTTTTTTCTGCAGGTGGCTTGTGGTCCGGCTGGCCACCAAGTGGTGTCAGCGGAAGCTGCAGGCGGAGCTAAAGATCGGCTCCTTCCGCTTTTTTTGGATCCAGAATGTCAGTCTTAAGTTTCAGCAGCACCAGCAAACAGTGGTGAGTTCTAGGAAACTCCCTGGGTATGTGTCTGGGATTGATCCAGCTGAATTTAACTTTTAATTTCCTTGTAAAAGAAAATCCTGGGTGGCTTTTCTAGTTAACCTCAACCTTGCCCTTTCATTGCCAAGATGTTCTTAGCGCTAGTTGGGGAACACTGGAATTGATGGGAGTTGTTCAGTTAAAATCAAGGGTTTGGATCCCATGCTGGCCAGCTGCCAAAAAAAAAAAAAAAAGTTTATAGGACACAGAGTAGCCAGGGCACATAAAAAAGATACAGAAGTAAAGCACAGAAGAAAGATAACAGGAAATAGAAGAACTTACTGTTCTAATTTAAGAGGGGAAACAGGGCAACATACCCATAAAAGAGAAATTCTAAGCAACTTCAACTAACGTCATTGTGAGGAGCAAGATAGTGAGTTCCGAGTAGAGAAACCAGTGGAAATGGAGTGGGGTATATTTAGTGGAAGGGCCTATAGCACTTCCTCCTCTTCTGTGGCCCAAAACCTTTCCTGGCTTGTCAAGCTGCTCATTGCTTACTTAGCAGCTAGTGTACAAAGCTTTCTCCATACTGTTTTAGGAAATTGATAACCTGTGGATTTCCAGCAAACTCCTTAGCCATGATCTGCCGTGAGTACCCTATATCCTTATGACTCCCCTTGAGAAATGTTTTGGGGTTGGGATTTGCAGAATGAAATTCTTCTACAGAGGCCTCATAACCCAAGGAGGGCAGTAGGTTTTTGCTGAAGTTTCTTTGTTGGCTTGGGTGTTATTATCTTGTGGGACAGATACTGATAACTACTATGAGACTATCCTCTGTGACTTGAGCTACCTTTCTAGGGAGGATGGGAGAATGAATGTGA